CTGTGTCTTGCCACTGAGGCAGTCATGAGATCCTGCACATAGAAGACACTTAATAAATGGCAGTTCCCTCTCCCCACTTCATCTTCTCTAGGGAGCTCTTCCTTAATGGTCAAAGTCTCTGCTGCTCGGTCTCCATCCTTTCTCCCCATTGTCAGTGCTGACCACTATCTTTTCCGAGCTTCTAATCTCTGAAAGCAGCTGAATCCTGGTCCAGGAGGCACATGAAAGTCTGGAGAGACTCAGCAGGGAAGTAAGGAAACACAGACCAGTAAAATTCCCAAATCTATATGTCCACACTGGCTATTTTTTGTTAACCTTCTGTTTCCTTGTAGCAATAAACATCAAGACCTGAAAAGGGGAAGGGCTTGTGCACTTATGTTCAGGTGAGTAAAAAGGAGGCAGCAGGAAGAGCTCATCTCACTCCTCAAGACTGGCTTGTAGGGAAGAGAGGCAGGGAGTGACCACTTCACAAAAGAAAGGAAACTACCCAAACACCTAGTAATATTTACTAGGCAAAAACAGCCACCCAGGTCCAGAGAAGTAGGTCTTCCACTGCTCCTCCAAGCTGCTTCAGAGAAAAGGGTGCCACCTTCAGAGGCCTTGCCAGTCAATCAGAATTCACAGTGTGTCAGCTCTTCTGGGCTTTCTTCATTGATGCTGGGAGCCCAAGGACTCCTTTTCTGGTACCAAAACACTTCCTTCTCCTTTCTTCTTCCTTTGAGAAAGCTGAGTTTGGGGGAGCATGCTATTAGTAGGATATATTGCAATGCAATGAAGTAAGCTTCTCATGAAACAACAGCAGCATGAGACCCATTAGTGCCTACCATCTCTCCCCTCCCCTAAACCCCTTGAAAGCCAATAAGGAGAGGTCAGGGCAGAGCACACAGAAGGGTCTCATCTAAGACGCTCAACTGATGCCAACTTCTGTTAATTCACTACTTTTTTCACACCAAGGATTTTATATGTCATTTCCTTACCCACAAGCAACAAAACAAGCTGGGCAAATCTCTAGGTCCAGAGAAGAGAACAGCAGAGATGCTAATAACTGGAAAGTGCAAACAGTATACATTTCCCCACAAGCCAGTGGAAAAGAGACTGGAGGTCACTCAGCTCATGTGAGATTCTGAAGAGCTTTCTGGTTCAGTCATGTTTCTAATCCCACTCATTAAGCTTCCAGAGTTTTTCTGTTTTAGAGTTAGACCTGGGAAGTAACTTCTCCCCCACTTAGGGGTGCCAGATAAAATACAGAACACCCAGTCACATTTGTATCTCAAATAAATAACCAGTGATTTAAGTATGTATTAATACCAAATATTGCATAGGATGTGCACATCCTAAAACTTGATTCTTTGTTTATCTGAAATTCAAATGTAACTGGGTATCCTGTATTTATATTTGCTAAATCTGGCACCTCTATATGACCCACCATTTGACACAGCTTTTTACTTTTCTGAGACTATAAGGGTTTATGTTTTAAGGAATTATCTGAAATTAAAGATTGCCTACATCCTTGCTGCACTTCATTAAGCATTCACAACTATCTCCAATCTCCAAAGTTGATTAAAGTAGCAAAGGGTAATACAATACATTGGAATTTCATTTTTTTCCCCTACTCAACTTCTGGAATAGTGTACTGCAAATGGAATGGCCATAAGGCAATCTAAACAGAAAAAGGTGGAAAAGAAACAAGTTATGAATAAACCATAGATGTTTATCGATTCTTGAATAATCTGGATTTGATTCCAGTTTTGTTGTGTGGTCTTGTTCCTTTTTTCTCCTGATTTTGTTGCAAGTATTGGACAACAAATGAGCCATTTAAAATGAGCCTAAGCTAAATATTGATTCAAAGAATGAAGACAATTTCACTTTTATTCAACACAGGTTTAGCTCACTCTCCAGTGAAGGTCTTTTAAGACAGTATGATAAATCAAAACATATTTTAGGCATATTTCTTTAGTAAAAACAAAACAAAAACCTGTTTCAGGGCAGTAACCAACATTGGGAATTTTTATAAGAAAAACAGAGTTTATCAAACCCAGTCATAAATTTTTCAAACAAATCACATTTTAAGCTTGAACGTGATAGTAGTTTCCAATGGAGACACCCAAAGACTGCATTGAGAGTTGGATTCTCCTATCCAATCCCAGAAACAAACAGTGACAGAATCAAAAAAGAGGTTCAGGGAATAATTAAAGGAAGAGATGGTATTAACTTCATCTTTGGTATTCAGTGTGTGCTAAAAGCACAGGACACCTTAAGTACATCAATCTTCACGTTAACCCTGTGAGATTAATAGAAAACAAAAATCTCAGAAGAGATTAAATATCTAGAAAGGTTACATAGCTATTAAGGGGCAATTTTAATTCAAGAATAGATTGAGAATTCCAAAGCAATGTTCGCCAAATGTAGACTTAGCACCAATTTTATTTTTATAATCATTAAATATAACATTTTATTTAATTTTCCTGACATTGTGAGAAAGTGCTATTGAGTAAAAACATTAAATGAGATAACAATATTTGTAGTCAAGATCAGTTTTCAAATTATTTGAAACTTTTTTATATTTTAATAGATTTAGGGGGTACAAGTGCAGTTTTGTTACATGGATATAATGCATAGTGGTGAAGTTTGGGCTTTTAATGTCACCATCACATGAATTGTGTACATTGTACCCATTAAGTAATTTTTCATCCCGTACCCCCCTCCCACTCTTCCACCCTCTCCCCCTTCCAAGTCTCCAGTGTCTATTATTCTACTCTCTATGACCATATATACACATTATTTAGCTCCCACTTACTTACAAGTGAGAACATATAGTATTTAATTTTCCAAGTTATTGGAAAATGATGGCCTCCAGTTCCATCCATGCTGCTGCAAAAGACATGATGTCATTCTTTCTTATGGTTGAGTAGTATTCCGCTGTGTATATATACCACATTTCCTTTACCCAGTCATCCATTGAGGGACACTTAGGTTGATTCCCTATCTTTGCTATTGTGAATAGTGCTCCGATAAACATATGAGGGCAGGTATCATTTTGATGTATTGATTTCTTTTCCTTTGGGTAGATACCCAGTAATGGGATTGCTGGATCAAACAGTATTTCTATTTTTAGTTCTTTGAGAAATCTCCATACTGTTTTCCATAGAGGTTGTAAATCACATTCCCACCGACAGTGTAAAAGCATTCCCTATTCTCCACATCCTCACCAGCATCTATATGTTTTTTGACTTTTTAATAATAGCCATTCTGACTGGTATAAGATGGCATCTCATTATGGTTTTAACAAATTATTTGAAACTTTCAACTTTCCTTGGGTCTGTTTTCGATCCCAACCAGTCATCTTTTGGGTGGGGGAGCATATCCTCCCCCATCTTCCAGCTCTCCATCTCTAGCACACAATACACTCCACAAAACTGCTAAGGTATTGCTGAACTATCTACCGCTCTGCTCTGGGAGCACATAGGACTGAAGAGATTATAGAATGAAATCTAACTGAAAAAAGTTATAGACAACTTTTGTAAGTCTTTCTAATGCAGATGAATGTCAAGAATTCCAGCGGGCAGTCTCTGTCCAAGTGTTCACTCACCTCACCACAGCCAATAGGGACGGGATGAGGAATAGGGAAGCCAAAGAATTTATCTTTTTTGAGTTTGCATCCAGACGTGGGCCACAGAGAAATAGAACTATAGTCATTCATTATTATTTATAGCCAGAATTTATTGAACATTTCCCTGTTGTCAAGCACTAAATACACACTATTTTAGCCCCTAAAACAACAATATGAGGTAGATACTGTTAAGATCCCCAATTTACACATGAGGAAAGCGAAGTGTAAACAGAGATTAAGTAACTTGCGGTTGCCCACAGCTAGCAGGAGATGGCATAGGATTCAAATGCAGGCAGTCTGACTTCCGTCTACAGAATGCTGAGCCACAGTCACCATGCTCACCTAATCCCCACATAACGGTAGCCCAAAGAACTCACTTCCTCAATTTTTGTTTAGTTTTATTCATTCTTTTAAGAAATAGTATAAATAGTATGCCAGGCACCAGGCATATAGCTGGTAAACAGTGAGAAAACAAGACAGAGTCCTGGCCCTGTTTCATGTGCATTAGAGTGTAATGAAGGAGATCAAAAATGCTAATAAGTAAACAAGAAAAATTAAAGTTTGATAGCTGCTCTGAAGGAAAGGAAAGGTGCCATGAGCAAGGAAATAGGAGGGACCTACTTGAGATGAAGTGGAAAGTGAGGGAGGGCTTCTCCAGAAAGAAAACATGTAAGCTGGGCTTTGAAGAAAGACAAAGAATCAAATGAGAGCCAGACACAGGAGCCAAAGAGAGTTCCAGGAGAAGGAAGGTGGCATCAATGCAGGAGGGAGCCTGGGGTGCTGCCAGAGGGAGCACATGTGGCATGACCTGGGGCACATGCATGAGACACACATGTTTTAATAGCTGTGATGACACGCCTACTGATATTATAGACTAGCCTACAAAAGGAAGGGAACCTTCTCCAGTGGAGCATTATTTATTTTATTCTTAAAAATAACAAAGTTGACCCTTTGGGATGTTTGTGCTAGGAGGTCCAGACGGAGGGCCTTACTGTTAACAGCCCACACAGAGGTCCCTGCAGCCTTTCAGGGAAGTCTTTCTATGTTGAATCTGTAATTCCACAGGCAAGTACCCTGCAAATCTTTAACTGCTTAAAATTAAACAATTAATGAAAGTATTTGTGAACTATTTTATGAACACAAAAAGGAGGGATACAAACAACAAGGATACAAGCAATGTGGCACTAACTTTTTAACTGACAGAGAAGAGCAGGGCTGGAGCATGGACTTAGCCATCAGAATTTGTCACCGCCTCTGGTGTGATGTCATAGCCAGGCGGGGAGGAGGGCTGGGCTCAGGAGGAACCGCCTGTGCACAAAATCCTAAACAACAGTTCTCATTCCCTGGAGCTGAGCCAGGAAGCCTGTAGCTTTCCTCCTGTTTGCTGGCAGGCACCAAGCACTCCCAGACAGGACTCGTCTGAGTGCTGCCTTGTCCAGACCATATAAAAAATGCAGCTTTGTGCTGACTGAGAAGTAACATTTTTTCTGGAACAAGACTCTGATTTTTCTGACACTAATGACCTTAAACAAGACAGAGGATTTGAAATTTGATGCAACAGGGCGCATAAGTTTTGACTATGTGCAGGGAATTCGTCAACCCACACCCACCTGTGACATCTGGGATCAGATCTGGAATTTTCAAGCCAAGCCTGATGACCTGCTTATTGGTACCTATCCTAAAGCAGGTAAGTGGAAGGGTATGGAAGAGAAGGTGAAAAGTTAGGAAAGTAAGTGGGAAGGATTATTAATAATGAAATAAATAAGTTGATCTGGGTTTGAGTAGAAAACTATTTACTGGACAGAATCACATGGCTAAGACAAATTACTTGTGGAAACTGAAACTACACAAAAAATGTTAAAATGACTTACAAATATTAAGAATTTAATTTTTCCTATGATGTACATATGTTTTTACTTTCCCAGGAGAGAGTAAAACAGCCAAGAGCAAAAGAGTAGACTTGTTTATTTATTCATCCCCAATCTAGGCCCTTATTGCAGATCTTGCAAAGAGCTGATTTGGGTATGCAAGCTAGATCCTGAGGCTGATTTGGGAACAAAATAGGGGAGCTTGGGTTTTGCAATGCTGATTTCACCTCAGCAGCCTCAGGAGCCCACCCAACTCAGGTCGGAGAAATATTCTTCTGATTTCTGCCTTCCATCATAGTAAGTTGTAAACCTACTTCCTTATTTCAACAATCAGTTTAACAAAGTTGTCTGTAGGAGTAAGACTAACTTGAGCCCAGCTACATTATAAAAATCTGGGGATGAGCAGGGGAAATAGTTCTCTATAGATATCTGTGCATATCTACATATTTACTAAAAATACAGTATTTGATCCACACCCAAAATGTATATACATTTGCTCTTCGCAAAATCAAGCCCGCTGTCAATAATTCCTTTTACACATATACACAACCAAAAAAATCTAAACCTCAGCATTTTCTGAGACTGTTCAAACTCCTTTCATGTCTTTATCTCTTGAGATCCTAATAGAAGACTCTGTAGGCATATGGAGGCCTTAGTTTCCTCTCTATCCTTTGGTTTCATATTGGTCCTGATTTTCCAATGTTACTCATCAGGAGCCTACTTAGGACCAAAATTTTTTCCAGCTATTTAATTCTCTTTATTTACAGTTTGTGTTCTATGCAAATCAATTCCATAACATGAGAGGTTACTATGAATCAAAGCATAAACATACAAATACAATATACGATCCCAAATATTATAGATGTATGGCATCCCGATATACACTCACACACATGGTAGCTTCAGATCTGTTCCAACTAGTTGTTCCCATGTAGGCTTTTAAAGATGGGGAAAAAATGACTTTGGTCATCAAAACTACTATAGCCATGTTAGATGCTGGAACATCTAAGCATCAGTGTGTGACCATGTGAACAAAAGATTTCAAGGAGTGTCTATTTTTTAAAAGGTTTCTGTGTGTTGAAGCAGTTGTAAAAGATTTACTGCAGAGGCTGGGCATGGTGGTTCACACCTGTAATCCCAGCACTTTGGGAGGCCGAGGCGGGAGGAACACTTGAGGCGAGGAGTTTGAGACCAGCTTGAACAATATGGTGAGACCCTGGCTCTACAAAAAATAGAAAAGTTAGCCAGGTGTGGTGGCGTATGCCTGTAGTCCCAGCTACTGGGAGGCTACTTGGGGCAGGAGGATCACTTGAGCCCAGGAGTTTGAGGTTGCAGTGAGCGATGATAACACCCCTGCACTCTAGCCTGGGCAACAGAGCAAGACCTTGTCTCAAAATAAATAAAGAAAGAAGATTTACTGCAGAATTAAGCCCACTTTTAGGCTTAGGACCAGGTTCTAACTATCTAAAAATATTGACTGAAAAAAGTAAAAAATAAAAAAATAAAAATATTGACTGATAACAAAAATTACTCCAAGTGTTGCTATCCTGATCCATAGTTGTTTAAAAGAAAAAATAAAAAACAAACAAACAAAAAAGGCATTTACAGAAAGAGTATAAAAGTTTTCATGAATTTAACGCAAGTTACCTTCCAGTCTTCACTTCCTAAATAATTGATTTACAGTTTTTGGCTCCTTCACATTCTTGCCTTTTTAATTTTCAACATATGCAGAAATAAAAAGCACTTTGAAATTAGTTGAGGTCAATGCAGTTTTACTCTTTGGAATCAGTGTAGCTAAATGAATCTGGTGCTCTTGTTGAATGGAAATAGGTGATGGGAAATGTCTACCATCTGACTCTGTAAGGATAAGCAAGAGGTACTCATGATGCTTATTCTGCCTTTCTTTGTTTTTTTGTTTGTTTGTTTTCCCCATGATTTAGCTGCATTGTCCTTAAGAAAGGCAGAATGTCATGATGGAAAGAAAAAAAAGAAAAAATCAAAATTAATGGTTGTGACAGGAAAAAAAATAAATGTATATTCATCAGTGTCCATGCCAAATTGGAGTATGTGTATAAAAATTCATATTATGATAACATAAAATATAAATAGGAAATGATGTCTTCTGAATTCCATTGTAAACCTAGCTTTAAAATTCATCTAACAAGTATTTGATCATATTTTAAGGAATGTAGTATACTAAATGTCTATGCATTTTTATCTTATGTGTGGAATAAGGAACAACATGGACTCAGGAGATAGTGGACTTAATACAAAATGACGGTGATGTTGAGAACAGTAAACGAGCACCTACTCATGTACGATTTCCTTTTATCGAATGGATAATCCCATCCGTAGGATCTGGTGAGTATGGAATAGCCACACTTAACTACAGTATTTAGAATTTTTACTACCAAATTGCACTTATCAAAATTCTAGGCATTCAAACAATTATTTATGGGTTTTGTAGCTTTGTTTTTTTTAACTGTGTCTGGCCATTGCTATACTACAGACATTTCCTAATGAAGTTATTGTTTATATAGTAAGTTAAGTTTTGATTCTCTAATTAGAAATGAATTTTATTTCACAAGGATGAGCCCAAATAAGATAACCAAGGTAGATGGGTTTAAATTTTTTAGGTTCCTGTTTATTTGGTTGATTGCGATGCTTAGGAATTGTTCTAGCCAAAACATCTGTTCATATGCTAGACTCATTCTCTCAAATCAGATCTACAGACAGTACAGTATTCTTGCAGATGCCTTGCATTGTTCCTAAGGTAGTAATAATGGAAGTTGCAAGATTTTGAAGCAAATAGAGAAATATAATAGAAAATGACTGAAAACCAATTTTGCAGGTTTGGAACAAGCTAATGAAATGCCCTCACCACGGATCCTGAAAACACATCTTCCCATCCACTTGGTACCACCATCCTTTCTAGAGAAAAACTGTAAGGTAAAAAACAAAAGGAATTCAGAGTTGTACTCCTTAGAACAACCTTAGAGTAGTCTTCAATCAATTTCCTCTTAAAACACTTCACTTGTTAAAAAAAAAAAAAAGTCCAGCTCCTCACAATAATCAATATGAAAATTGATATAAATCCTTTACATCTCCCATAAAAGCCAGGATCACAAGAATGTAACAACAAAAAAACTCATTTGTATGAAATGTATCCACTCTGACGTCTGGGCAATAACTATATATAGATCTAATCCTGTTTTTGCTTCTTCCCTTCCTCCCATGATTCCCAGATAATCTATGTAGCAAGAAATCCCAAGGACAATATGGTGTCCTATTACCATTTCCAAAGAATGAATAAAACACTTCCTGATCCAGGAACATGGGATGAGTATTTTGAGACTTTTCTGGCTGGGAAAGGTAAGAGAATTCAGCTTTTATTTCCTTCCTTTCTCAAAATCCTCAAACACTCTACAAGGAAAGAATCATTTCCTTAGACCAGTAGGGGTCTGCCTTCTTTAATGTGACACTCCCTCTCTCTTCAGGAGAGCACTAATCAAGGGATTCTCCTTTCAGTATAATATTTGTTGGGTGGACCTCTGTGACTCATTGCCCTGTTTTTCATCCCATCTTCCAGTGTGCTGGGGCTCTTGGTACGACCACGTGAAAGGATGGTGGAAAGCCAAAGACCAACACCGTATTCTCTACCTCTTCTATGAGGAAATGAAGAAGGTGAGGGCAGTGCCATCTAATACGTTCTCATTGGACCGTAAAACATTTAAGTCATAATGTGTTGACCCCATCAGGGACTCAAAGGAAAAAACACTTAGTAATTCCAATTAATAAAAAAGAGAACAATATGGGTCACCATGTTAAAATGACTCATTTCTGGAAAGTTGAGCATTTGTATGATATTTTTTTTTAAATGTTAACACATGCCATGTTACTGGTTACTGTCATTAATCCATTTTAATATTCTTTTTAAACTAATTATATTAACTGTTCACTTTTCTTTTGACTCTGATCATAGAACCCAAAGCATGAGATTCAGAAGCTGGCAGAGTTTACTGGAAAGAAACTAGATGACAAAGTTCTAGAAAAAATTGTCCATCACACTTCATTTGATGTTATGAAGCAGAATCCAATGGCAAACTATTCCACACTTCCTACTGAAATCATGAACCACTCCATTTCTCCATTCATGAGAAAAGGTTTCTATATTTTCTTTTGGCCATAATCTTAAAAGAATTGTCTAAGATTTCAGAGTATTTGGGGAGTTTTCTACGGTTAGGGAAAATAATATCTTCAATGAATGATTTTGGGAAAAGAAGTATTTAAGAAACCACTAATGAAATGAAAACAATATTTAATTAGCCTCTATGGGAGAGTAAGATTTGGTGTCTAAATATAACCACCTATTCCTACTTTGCCTCCAGAGTTCTGGCTGATAAGGTGAAAATACACAGAATTAAGTCAGATGGGGCAAAGAATCCATTTTATAGGAGGCCCTATGTTATGAGAGTCATTCATTCAAAAGTACTTTACTGAAGGGCATCTATGTGCCAGGCACTGTTCTAGGCATAGTTTGGAGAGGTGGACATAACACAAAAATTCCTTCTCTCATGGAAATTATATTTGAGTAGTAAGAAAAATAAGAAGAATACACAGGATGATAGATGATGGTAAGAAAAATAAAACTGGGAAAGGTAACACAGATTACAGTTAGAAAATCTGGGGACTCTTCTTTATTCTTCCTCAAAACTATACCTTAAGACCTCCCAGAAACAGGCCCTTCTTGATCAGCTTATAGCATGGAAGCTACAGGCATGAGCAGCCACCATGCTTAGATGTGCAAGAGGGCACAGAGAAAGACACGAAAGCCCCTCAGGCCCGCTGTTTTAACACGGTGATCTCATTCCCTGACTAAAGTGGCTAGGTGGGTAACAGGCTCCCTGTCTCACAAATCAGACAGGAAATTCTTCTTCCCTTCAGCATAAGAAAGTCACAGGATAGCAAGAGAAATTTTTTGTCCAATACTGCCATTCTTGGAAGGTGGAGGAGAAATCACCACACAGAAACAGGAGGATAGAGAAGCATGAACTCCTCCAACAGCTACTGAGTCTCCCACATGACTGTGTTTCAGGAGCAGTGGGAGATTGGAAGAAACACTTCACTGTGGCTCAGAATGAGAGATTTGATGAAGACTACAAGATGAACATGGCTGACACCAGTCTAACTTTCCACTTTCAACTCTAGTAAGGAAGAAAAAGAACTAAACATTTCTTAGTTATTACTCAGTATACTTGAGTAATAACTCAAAGTTTAATAATCAGACCAACTGATATTGGATTCAGGTTCTTTGTTGATTGTGTTTGCTCTTGTTCACTCTACTAAAAAAATAACCTAAAAATAAAAAGACAAGTGATAGAGCTAGCAGAGGTTAGGAATAAGGTAGAGACTGGAAGCAGGATGGTGACGTGGAGGGAGGGAAGTTCAATAACTTACTAGCTACCATCCTGGTATCACTGCCAATTATCATTATATTTAAGTTTTCTACAATCATGTGTTAACATATCTAAAATGCTTCCGTCCTCATATGAGAATACACTAACATTTTCAGATTAAGTTTTGGTTCAAGTTAATTTTTTTAAATGTATAAATAGTGACTGTTTCTTCCAGCAGTTTCTTGGTAGCCAAGTAACCATCAAGTGACTCAATTTCCTCCTGGAACCTTCCAATTCACTTCAGGGTTCTAGGGTAATACATCCATCCCCATATCTCACCAGCCTATATATTAAATTGAACTCACTCTCCCATCTCCAACTAATGTTACACAGTCCACTCCTGGAGTCACCTCTTGGCTTACCTTTCCCAATGCCTCCACGATCATATTCTAATCCATCAACAATATCTGTCAGTTTTAATCTATGAAGTATTTTATGGTATTTTCATCTAACCACTCATTGTTTTCCTTCTATTTCTACAGCCATCCTCCTGGTTCAGAAACATCTTACCTCTTGCCTAGACTACTTTAATGGCTTCCTAAGTCATTTCTCTGTTTTTCACACATTTAGTAAGGTAATTTTCTTAAAACAAGACTCTAATTATGTTGCTTTTTAGCTCAAAATCCTTCAATGACTGAATTTTCACTATCTGAAAGATATATCCCAAGATTTTACCCATCAATTCAAAGACGGCTATAACCACATGACTCCAACCTTCCTTTACAGCTTGATTTCATCTTCCAAACTACTCCATATTTTAGCAAATTAGCCTCCTCACTGGGCCCTGATCATATCTCCCAGGTTCCTACCCTCCTGTTTTATTTACACCATGCCTCCACCTGGAATTTCCCTTCCTTTCTTTCTACCTATCCAAAAACGTATAACACGTTTCAATAACCAGCTCATTCATCCTAGAAATACTGCAATCTGAAAAGCACACTTGCTTCTCTGAAGTCCTCTACACTTGGCATAATTCTTTTGTGATTAAAATTAAAGTGTATTATAGAATTATATTGTATTTCTGTATTTCTCTCTTATGCTTATTTAAATTTTCATTTGTTTATTTTTTTCTCCAAGATAGGGACATTGCTGTATACCTCACTGCATATCAAACAGCATATAACATGCTCAAACACAAGTGGCTGAAAAAAACATATCAGTCAAGGAAATTATAAAAAGTTAACTTTTTATATTCCAAGTAGACAGTTTCTAATAACCACTATCATCTATAGCTGTGCTATACAATATATTAGATAATAGCTACATATGACTATTTAAATTAATAAAAAACTAAATAAAATTAAAATTCAGTTCCTGATTTTCACCAGCCAAATTTCAACTGCTCAGTAGCCCCATGTGGCTAGATGCTATTATATTGGACAGTGCAGATTCTAAAACATTTCTATCATCAGAGAAAGTTCTATTGGATAGACTTTTTATTTGTACAACAACCCTTTGAGTTTGGTATTATTATTCTCACTTTATAGCTAACAAAACTGAAACCAAAGTTCAGAGGTATTAGGTAAGTTGCTCAAATGAGAAATGTTGCAACCCAGTTTCAAACACAGCTCCAGTGGCTCCAAAGCTTGGGTTTTTAACTGCTCACAACAGAGTTTCTTCCTCCTGTTCCTGCTACAGTCTCACCACAGGTGTCCATCATGACCACTGGTCACTAAAGATTGCCCAACATGGTCCCCGAGCCAATGAGAGTGCATACGGGCAAGATGTTGGCTATTCCCTACTCGTGATCAAATGAAGCTTAGCAATAGTCTACTCAAGGGCTACACCATTCCCACTGTCTAAATGCTCTGAAGTGGACAGAGCCCTAAGCCCACAGCAGCCTCTCACTTGGCACCTATTGCATGTGTTCACTTTTGAAATCTTCCCTTTAAGCCTTTATATCTCTAAGGTTCCCTCCAGAATTGGGTATAGCAGGGATCTGCAGAGCCTGATCTCAATGTGGTGCCTTCTGTGGCTGTGTACCAATTCTCCCCCATCATATCCCCACTCTCCAGGACTTTAAAGTCCATGACCTGACCTGCTGCCTTTGATGGACAACTCAGGGAAAGTGAGCTGGAGTTCAGCCAGTGGCTTTTAGACCTTTGACCTTACTCTCAGGCTGCACCTCTTACTTTCCTGCAAACCCCCTCCATACTCCCAGCAGGCAAACCAATCTCTATGCTTTGGTTACTAAGCTCCAGCCCCAACTAGACCAAATCAAACTGGCCTTCACTTGGCCTGTCACTCAAGTCTTCTGAAACTAGTGATTAGAATATTATATTCTAGATTTATTCAAGATTATTTCCATTTCATCAGAGAATTAGAATAATGCATTTAGATTTTGGAACCCTTCTAATAACACTGAGTCTGTAAAAACAGTGTGCACATCCAGTGTTTTGTCACACCTGAGTAAAAACCTTCAACCCCATGGAGGAAGTCTGGATTTGAATCAAGAAAATCAAAGCTCATGTGTAGAGATGCAAAAAGTAAACTACTGCAATAAAATACCAGTATTATGATTCTATGTAAAACATTTTTAAAAACCGATATTCTTTAGCAATGCTAAGAGGAGATTTGGTGTGACTAACAGGCTTCATGAGGCCCCTTGACTCTTTTCTACTGGTGAAGAATATAATTTTAAAAATAAATACATGTCATACTAATTCAAACTTAAGTCCAGTGTTAAAGAAATAAAAATTCACCCTAGGATTAGAACTATACAATGAAACAGAAAATCAGAAAGCAGATGGTTTCTGTATTACCTGACTTGAAGCACTAACAGTAATACTAGCATACTTTGGAGGCCAGGTTGGATGCCACTGAGAGCAAAGGAGGTTGTCACAGCACCCGAGAGATTGCAGTATTGGAGAGAGACACCAGGGGGAGCAAGAGGTTAAGAGTCCCAAATTAAAAAAAAAAAAAACAGAGCCGAAACCTCTTTAACTGGAAACTCCTGGAAATTAAAGCCTGTAAAACTGGAAGAGGTAACAGTTTTTTTTAATGTCCAAATCTCAACAAAAGATCACAGGCACACAAAGACACAGGGAACCACAGCCCAATCAAAGAAACAAAATAAATCTCTAGAAACCAAACCTAAAGAAATGGAGATCTATTAATCACCTAAGAGAATTCAAAATAACCATCTTAAATATGCACAATGAGCTAAAAGATAACACAGAAAGACAATTAAATGAAATCAGGAAAATGATGCATGAAAAGTAAGAATATCAGCAAGGAGATAGAAACTATTAGAACCAAACAAATTCCACAGCTAAAGAATAGAATAACTGAATTTAAAAATTCACTTAGAAGGGTTCAAAAGCAGACATGATCAGATAAAAGAAAGAATCAGTATAATATACATTAATATAAAATGTATATATAATATGTAGCATATTATATACATATACACACACATACTATGATGTTTTGACATCTTAAAAAACCTTCCTGGCTGGGGAGAGACTGTCCCTCCTGGAGTTAGCCAATTCTTAGAGGTAACAGAGCTCAGCCAGGAGAGTACCTTCAATATACAAACTAACAAATCCAAAGCCATTCCTTCTCTATCTGGCCCATATACCACAAGAGGCAGGATTCCTCTGCCTTAATCATCCAGGGTCAGGTACCAAACAACCAGAGACCACCAAATAACTTAGATATCACCAAAATTATCCAAACTAGCCAACTTTAAGCTATTTATTCTGCCCTGCCTTGTATTTCTCAGGTAAATAAACCCCAATAAATGCTCACTCTGGCCTAAACCTTCCCCTCACTCCTATTTTCTGCCTCCTGCCCCCCTACGTGGCCCTGTGTGGCAGGCTGTGCCCCCTTTCCTAGAAGGTGTAAATATAATAAGACTTGTTTTTCTGAGCCTAACTTGCGTCTACTCTTGTGACCATATCTGACTGACTATCACATAAAAGAGCACAAAACAATCAGTGAACCTGAAGATAAGTTATCTGAAATTACTGAGTCAAGGGCAAAAAAGAAAAAGAATGAGAAAAGTAAAAACAGCCTAAGAGACTCTGGGACTCTGTTAAGCAGAACAACTATGCACTATGAAGTTCCAGAAGTAGAAGAGAGAGAGAAAGGGGAAGAGAGATAATTTGAAGAAATAATAGCTGAAAATTTCACAAATCTGAGAAAAGAAAATGAACATACAAAATTCAAAAGGCTCGATGAACTCCAACTAGGATAAACCCAAAGAGATCTACTTTGAGACATATTATGATAAAACTATCAAAAGTCACGGACAAAGAATCTTGAATGCAGAAAAACCAAAGCAACCCATCAATACGATGGAACCTCTATTAGATTATTAGTAGCTTACTCAGCAGAAATCTTGCAGGCCAGAAGGAATAACTGAAGGGAAAAAAACTGCCAACCAAGAACAGTATATCAGCAAACTGTCCTTCGAAAATGGAGAAATTAAGAATTTCCCAGAAAAACAATAGCTGAGGGAGTTCATCATCACTAGACTTTCCCTAAAGGCAATATAAAGGAAGTCCTTCCAGTTGAAATCAAAAGATGCTATTCAGCCACACAAAACCATATGAAAATACGAAACTCCTAGTAAAAGTAAATATATAGGCAAATATAGAATCCCATAGTATTGTAATGTTGGTGTGCAAGACACTTTTAATTCTAGTTATGCTCTTTAAGAGACAAAAGGAAAAAAGCCTATAAATCATTGTTAATGGATACAAAATATTAAAAAACATAATTTTTGACATCAGTAAATGAAGTGGGGAGGTAGAGCTATA